TAATTTATTCCGTAGTCTTTAATACGTTGGCCAGCAGGTCAACCTACATATGCTTCTCTGTCAAATTTCTCTATTAAGTCTTCAACTCGTGTTTTACAGATACATATTTTATAGATTGGAGTAGGTTGAACTGCTCGCCACTGTACATAACGTCACGTAGGTTTCAAGCAGAGAAAGAAACTACTAATAATATTATGTAGTTAGACCAACACAGTCCACGAACAGCCGACAAAACACTAAAACTAATTTGACTGCTTTTGAAATAAAATTATTAAAAATAAAAGCTAATAAAACACAGGATTTAGAAAATAAGTAGATTAAACAATTTTTCCTTATTTAGGTAATAATTTATTAGTTATATATTAACCAACATAACACATCACATCTTTAAAGTAATATTGTGCATAAATACCTAATTCTACTTAAAATGTAAATCCGAAACCAAAGCTATGTGATCAGAAGGAAAAACTACACTTGGCAATGCTGTATGTAATTTCAATTCGTCGACAGACGGAAGAGGCACTACCTGTAATAAAAGACAAGTATTTATAAAAAATATGCTTAACTAGGGATCTTTGAATTCAACTGAATACATATAAATTTTTTTATAATTTTCTATTAAATAGGGTGATACCTGTTCTACTTCTAAGTTAGTTTTGTCATAAAATATGTAATCCAGACAGTCTGCAAATTCAGCAGTAAAATTTGTGTATACTGGTGTGCCACATGCACTTTCTAAAGGAATATTTTGTTGCAGGTTTAAATCATAAACAGCTTCATTAATATCTGAAAATTGGGATAAAAAAGATTAGTTTCAAATTCTGATTTTTTAAAATGAAATTATTGTAATTTTGTCTTGTCCACCTAATTAACCTGATTTTAAATATTTTTATGTATTTGTGTAAACTAATTTATTACTGTATAAAAAAAAAGGCTTACAAAAAATACACATATCACTAAATACTTACCTGTGCAATGTAATAAAAAAATGAATGAAGTAATAATTTATTGATATTATACTCACTAGACTTCCAGTCTGGCAAACTACTTGGCGAAGCACCTGTAGTGTACAACTGATAAATGCCACATGTAGGAACACTATTGAAATCACCACATAGTATGACACTTATCCTTTTGTCTGGATACTGAAATGCAAATACATACTGTTTACATTATATTGATTGAATAAGCAATGTACACCTTTGCTTCTGTTTACAAAACATAATTATATCAGTAGACTAGCTGCTATGGGGTTTCACCCGCTCTGCTCAGTTCCTATTGATTGTAGCGGTTTTATAGCCTATAGCCGTCCTGGATAAATATAGATAGTAGTTCCTGAGATTAATGCATTTAAACAAACAGCATTTTAGCATTAAAATATAATAATATAAGATTTAGTAGTCATTGACCGCACCTTAGATCTCATGTTATCAAGAATTTCCTTTAACCAGTAGATGACAGCACCTCCTTGTAGCAGTCTTATGTGGTCAGCATCAGGATGGAAATACAAATGTGTATTACCAACAATTAAAATCTCATTCGGATTGTCAATGGAGTGTAAGAATGTGGCACTAGCCACAGTTGACCTATCTAATAATCTGTCTGTTAGTGGTTTGTTGTCTTTTATCTTTTCCCAAATTGTTTGGAGGCATGATTTACTTTTTAAAGCATCAGATAGAACTATGCATTCATCTCCTAAAAATCTGTAAAAAAACAGGTTTGATTTTGTATTACAATAATGTACTGAAAAGACTCTCATCCTCTGTTTCTTTACAACAAAACAATAAAGTTGATATAACAAATATGTAAGTAAAATTTACATAACCATATAGAACAGCCTGTATTTACAGGGTGTAAACAGAAAGCTCCTGAAAAAGGCTGACAGGTTATGGTAAAAACAAGTCTTATTTTCATAAAAATAAGGAATATGTTTTTTTTATGTAATAATAGTTGTAATCAATTACTCAAAGCTAATGTTGTATGAACAATACATACATAAAAACACTTTTTTAAAAGAAAAAGAAAATAAAAAATATTACAAAACCTTTTTTGTCAGTTTTCAGGAGTGGTCCGTTTACACTCTGTATGTAAATAAATTATGTGTATGCTCACTCAAATCTATCTCTTCTATAGAAACAAGATAATCCTTCAGCAACTTGTTTCCCCTTCTTGTAAAATACACCATTTAGGCCTTCAGAGTCCATGAGTGGTTGAAGGGTACTTTGAAATATTTTCGAATCAACCTCTTGTAGACATATTAAATCACTATTGTACCCTGAAAGAATATAATGAAATTACTTCCAAACTTATTAAAAAATCTTGTTGATTAGTGTACTTATAGAGATGTACATTTAAAAAAAACTTACCAAATAATTCTTTTAATATGAGTTGTTTTCTATAGTCTATGTGTAAGGCATAAGCAGGACAGTATGGATATAAAAATGTTCTAGTATGATCTGAGTCACAGTAGAGATCTGCTAAAATGTTATATGATACACATCTGAAGCTGTAAAGAAAAGTGATTAGTTATTATTAATTTTTATTGTTAGTACATTCAAGTTGGTAGTTTAGGTACCTTTTAAGCTTTAACTTTTGCTTTGTAAATAAGTGTCTGGTTTCAAACGGACATGTGCCAGGGCCAGCTTCAACAAGATTTTTAGAAATAGATTCTACTGCAGGACCTACCAGCTCATCATTACCTGAAAGTATTTTAATGATTGTTACAGCTAGTTATTTTTCTTTTGGAATGAAATAATATGCTGTAGGGGTAGGAAAATTCAAACTCGAAACAAAAAAATACATTTAAACTTGAACACAACAAGACTATTTATGTAGTCTGTTAATTAGATTGATTATACTAACCTGGTATACATTCAAATTTCAATTTCATGCCAACTTCTTGAGCACCAGGTGTATAAATATAGTTGTTACTGGTCAGTTCCCACTGAATGTGCTGCTCACTAACTAAGTTTCCTTTCTCATTAATTGGCAATCCTTTATACCAGTTAAAAATGCATTTTTCTCTCTTAGCATATTGGGTCTCAAAATTAATTGGATACACTGGAAAGTCAGCTAAAATGCTCTGAGGCAGATTTAAACTGAGTACCCATGGAGAATTAAAAACAACTTCATAGAAATTATCTGACATTTTTAATTTTATAGGACCAACCATAGAGAACAAGTCATGGCAGGTATTGCTTTCATTAATAATAACATTATTGGAATCATAAAATTCTAATTTGATGTCTCCACTACTTTCTTGTCTCTCTTTTTTCTTTTTATTGCCCTTGTCCATTGCTTTTTGAATGTTGGTTTTCATTCGAGTAAGCAAAACTTGTAGGCTTTCAGTTGAATTCCGGCTAAAATTAAACTGCCGAGCAGAGCCCTTAACTTCCAACATGAATGTGATGTCTACTTTATCTTCTTGTTGTCTGAAGTAGCATTTATTGTTATTCATGGCTTTTGATAATGTTACTGTCGAGTATAGTCTGGTAATTAACTTGTCAATTCGAAAAAGCATAATATATTAAATATGAACCAATCTTATCATAATTTTCATATAATCAGTTTTTTTTTTGTAACGTCCAAAATGAGTAAATGTGTGAAACAAATTAAACTTTAAACCAAAGAATATACTGCCCTCTAACAACCGGTATACCAAAATTTCTTCAATTTATTGAGATGAGTGATAATATATACGCAATCTTAATAAAATAACCTCAAACACACAGGACTGACTTGTCAACAACTTGACATTGTCATATTGTCATAATGTTAATAATTTGTAGTGATTTTTGGATAGATCTATGGGATAGATACTCAGAATGGGTAAATATTATTAAATCTATGATAAATACTGAATAAATCAAAAAATACTGGGTAGTTATCACTGTAGGTTTTAAAAGAAAGAATATTTATCTATTTTGAGTACCTATTTATCCAAAAATCGTCTATCTCTATTCGTTATAGATTCTATCCAAATACATGCGACTCCAGTGAGAACGGGTAAATACTAAAATACTCAGTATTTCATCATTTTAAAGTAGATAAATAGCTCATATATATATTGGCAATGCAAAGATTCTAACTAGCGCCTCTATTGTCAAAATTGTGAAGCTGTCTAACAACGACACTGACAGTTGTCAAATTAGACTGACATTGTTTGACAAACACGTAAAATTTGACAAACAATTTGATCGTTTCCAGGGCGCTTTACAGCTGATCTTTTCTCTTTACATACAGGACATAAAATTTATTTGATTTATAATTTGGTCTTTTGGAAATAAATGAAAACTTATTCCCGAATCTCCATAAGTATTACATTGAGGAACGCAACAATATTTTATGTTTCTGCTTTTACTCAAAACAGGTTTCTGTATGTAACAATCATGATTCCTTTAATTGTGTCTAAACTTAAACCTCAACTCGAAAGCAAAGTGTCGTTCTTAGACAACTTTTAAATTACGCCGCTAGAGGCGCGCGGATAATCCTTGCATCGCAATATTATCTCTGCTAACTGGTGCTAGACGCTGGTGTGGTGATCAATCACACATATTATTAATATTATTATGTGCTCGATTTGGCGTTGTATGTTGTTGGTGTAGGCCCTTTTTTGGATAGATATTGGGAATTTACTCAGTATTGGTCAATTTTGAGTATTTAGCCGAAGAATCTCCCATTTATACATGGTGTTAGTGTTAACTTACTGTTAAAAGTGTTTAAGTTAGTTACTCGGTTGGATAGAAGTACATAAGGTGCCTCACTAACGCATTAGGTGATATAAAAGTACATGTAATGTAAGAGTTAAAATAAACAAATAAATATGTCGTATGTATGGCTGAATGGATTTATGGGCCACCCAGGACATAGGAGAAAATACATGTGAGAAGAATTCTTTTGTTTCAAATTAAGGAAACATTACTTCGTTCCTCGTTTAAAAATCGACTAAATCACAACTTACAGAAAATATTGTAGGTAGATCTGGCAACATTGTTTGTCAACGTGTCAGTGAGATTGTACGCGTTGCACGGTAGTTGCCAACACTATTCAGACACACTCACTTGCAGTTGTTCTACTTTGTAATTTCGAGAGGTAAATTACTAAAGTTATCAGTCACCACTGTGTTATCCTGAATTGAAGCACATAAATTACAAATATGGTATGTATAGAAACCAAATATTAATATTATTTTATGTTTTATTTTAAAATTATGTAAAATGTCCAGAATATTCAATTAGACTTACCTATGTATTATTTTTTCAGCCCCCTTCTCCAAGCTCTACATCTGTAGGATCTGGTGGTCGCTCGCCAAGCAAAGCCACAACTGCACCACGATCATCCAGTGGTGGCACTGTTCGTCAGCGCAAATCCACAACTACTACTACTGCTGCTAGAAATCGCAGCACAGCTGGGGCTGGATCTGGTGGCATGTGGCGATTCTACACTGACGATTCTCCTGGTGTTAAAGTGTAAGTTCCTGCATTTTCTGTGTATTTGATGGTTCCATATTGTTTATTCTAATGAACAGTTAAAATCTATATAGGTGACTGCCTATATATTTCGTTGACGTCTTCCGCAGCTATCGTAAATGTTTTCCCGATAGTTAATTGCTGATTGAAGATCAGTTAAACAAAGTTCCAAATTTCCGTTAAGTAAATAAATGATCTAACCTAAACCTAAAATCATACGACTTACTTAATATCCAGTCAATATTGATGGTTTTACTTGCAAGCAATTTAATTCTACTTTAACATCAATGAAACATTTACAAAAAACATTTTTGTAATATTACTATTCAGTTTATAGAGGAACACTAGAATAATTATAAAAGAGACTAATTAAAAGTGATTGGAAATTAACGAGTTTATGTTCCAAATGATTTTGTTAACATGAAATACAACATTGTTTTTGTTTTTATTTGCAGAGGTCCAGTTCCAGTGCTAGTGATGTCTTTGCTCTTTATTGCATCAGTGTTTATGCTTCACATTTGGGGTAAATACACAAGGGCATAATTTTCCAATTAATTCATAAAATGTCTGTTCTGAGTAAGTGTGAAAGTAATGGAGTGCAATGAGTATGGAGTTGGGTGTTAAGATATGATTTTTATTAAATTATGTAATTTAATTCTATTACACATTAAACATAAGTTGTATACATTATAATATCTTTTATTTTGTATTCCCTTTTTATTAAATTCATAAACGAGAATATATAAAGGAATTTAATACAATGTGGCTTTTGAGCATTTATGTTTATAAAGATATTCTCAATATAAATGAAATGAAGGTAATGATTGAGTACTGATTGAGGTGGAGGAAAGTAACCACTCAACTGATGGTATACCGTCAGTTTCATATATGAAACAACAGAAAATGCATTGTTTCACTTGGATTTTTCCACCACACCGGGTCCATGACCATGCATTAAATGTTTTATAATCTTAGAAGGATCAAGATTTATAATCAATTGTTAAAACCCATGTACTTCCTCTGAGTAAAATTAAATATTTTTATTTGGATATTTCTTCACCATTCTTGAGGCCTACAGAAAATCATCAGATAATTGTACATCAAGCTCAGACAGAACTAACAGAGAAACAATGAGATCATGAATACTATCTATGATAGTAATGGAAGTCATCATTGTCAACAACAGTCTGTGACAATCTTCTGCTAAACTAGTCACAAACACGTGCTTTGCAGGTGGGCTGGATTTGGGAGAAGTTTGAAAAGTTTAGGTTTGAACACTGCTGCCCCATCTCAATGAAATTAGTCAACTCTTAACAACACCCAATTGGTGGTGGCAAATATATTCTGCTCTGTAGTCAAGCCATGTGGCTTGCCTTGACATAATGTAATGTACCTAAATGCACTGCACTGACTTAACCCAGTAATATAATTACAACACTAAACTTGAACATACATACATATCCTCACGCTTGTCTCCCATGAGGGTAGGCAGAGACTATGGTAGGGATGTGCTGTAACAGGTCAATACCTGTAGCGCACCCCACTAAAACGCAATCGCTGGGGTGGTTTTAGTGAGGTACGAATCCCAGACTTCCTAGTTTTCTCAGCTTTGTGCTAGGCGCCTTTTGAAGGTGTCCCCTCTTCATCACAAAATAGGCAGACTATGGAACGGCAATTCCTATGATTCTTATATACCTCCTTCGAATTAATATTCACGGGATTAACCCATTGACCGACACCACTACCGGCACAATGATAGTCGAATCTACATTCCACATGTCGACAACCTCGTGAGCTAAGTCTAGATATTTTATTTGTTTATCTTTCTCAGCTTTCACGAGGTTCTCCTCATGGGGAATGGTGACATCGATTATCATCATGCGGCGTAAGTACTTGTCGGTCTATCACCACTATGTCAGGTTTATGGGCTACAATAGTCCTGTCCAATAGTCCCTAATGATAGACCGGTCCCAATACAATGTAATATGGTCATTTTCCAGAACTGGGTCGGGCACATACTTGTAGTACGGTACCTCAGACTCAACAAGTCGATAGTGTAAAGCAACGACCACAACCAGAAATAATATGTCTAATGGATTCACCAGGACTATGACATGCCCGACATAATATGTCAACCGTCCCATCCTTAATTAAATATTTCCGGTAGTTACCTTCTCGTAAGGATAACTGCGTCCATTATTGCACAAACAAATCCTTCAGTTTCCCCAAAGAGATTACTTACTGAATCGTAGCCAAGACACGGACGCTAGAAAACCTACACTAGGCCCATGAAGGGCCCGGAAGAAACGTCCGTGGAGCTCTCTCCTTCCGATCATTGACGTTCAGTACCACACGTTTGCGCCAGTTCTCTTTTGCCAAGGATAGTGGAGTGAATCAATTGTCCATCGCTGCTACTTCTCGATGCATACTCAGTAAATATTACCTGAGGTTGCACACCTCATGTTTGTGAAGGGTTTTAGAATTTAATAAGCCTGGACCACCACACTTCACACACAGGAGAAAATCCTAATGTGGGGACATTAGGATTTTCTCCTGTGTCGTGGGTGCGTTTACAAACATACAAGTTCACATACATAATGACACCCACACCAGAAACAACAATTTGTGGATCACACAAAGTGTTGTTCCGTGCGGGAATCGAACCCGCGACACGTTGCACGGCAGCCGGTTGCCCAGCCACCGCACCAACCGTGCAGTCACTTAATTTTATTATTATTATTAACTTGAACCCTTTTTTTTTTAAGGGGGGAAAATCATCGAATGACTTCTCCCGCCTGGGTGAGGCGGGAGGTGTCAGACTCTTACCGACTAAAAACCACCCCGTTCCTTCTCCTGCACGTCGAGCCGGAGCCCCGGTTACCCGTTAGGTTCTCCGAAGATATTCCTAGTTGTCTATGTTACTTTAGCTCTAAGATATACCTAGGGCCTGCTGTCATCTATGCATTTTGAGCTAAAGAGAAACGATAATATTGGTAGGCACATATTATGCTAGTGCACTGTCTGCACTGATCATTAAGGAAGTATCAACATTAAATGATTGCCGCGTTGCCTGGATAATTGAGTGTCGCAATTCGATTCGCGCACTAAACCACTGTGTGATCCACAATAGTTGTTTCAGGTCGTGGTGTGAAGTGTATTTTGTAAAATATGTAATCAGAATATATATTATGGACAAACAATAAAAAAGAAATAGGTCACGAGGGTTGTCTAACTGTATTGATATACTTAATAACAAATGCAAATTAAAAATACAATTATTTTATTCAAATTATTCTTAAAAATAATTACAAAAAAGTAAAAAATAATCTTAGATTTAAGTCACAATAATATGAAAAAGAAAACTATTTACAATTCAGCCTTATTTTGAGATTCAATAATATAAAAGTAATCTCATGATAAAAGAATATAGCTGCCTTATTCGATTTAGCTGCCTCATTAACGGCGGGAGAAATAATCTTCTATTTTAGTATTATGTATATGCTTCAAATTAGATTCAGTTTCAAAGCAATTTACACATAAGCTTCCACTCTTCTTCCCTTAATTTTATCGAAAAATTGGCGCCAGGAAACTAATGTTTTTCCAGACCAAATCCAAAAACTGGAAGTTATTCCAACTATCATAGTCATTAAGTACTTTATCATGAACATTTCAAATTTTGGTCGGTCAGTTTCTTTCCGTGTAAATGGGCAAGGAATAGAATATAAAGGTATAGAACACATGTCACGGTGCCAAGTTACCATCCAGTCGTCAAAATTTGCTTGTTCATAGAAAAGACAAGCAATCACTATTAATGCTGGTACTGTGTATAATACACCAAAGACACCAATACGAATCATTAATTTCTCAAGTTTGTCTGTTTTTGTTCCATCATGTTTCATTACGGTTCTTATTCGGAATAATGAAACAAAGCCTGCAAGCAGGAAGATAGTTCCAAGAACCAGATACACACAGAGTGGAGCTAAAACAAATCCACGCAGTGCCTCGGCATCCCAAAGTCCAACATAGCATACACCAGAGAGAACATCACCTGAAAGGAAGAAATTATGTGTGACTTGAGGTAAAATATTTATAAGTATGTAAAAAAATAGGTTTTCTTTAATTTTGAATTGATTACTATAAATTGTCAAATAGTCTGTGGTTTGTTTAGATGGCAGAATTATAAGAACTTTGTGTTAAAGAATAGATATGTGGACAATTAAGAAAGAAAGAAAGAATAAGCATTCAGCACCAGGCACGATGCAGCATAAATAAAATATAAAAATGACAATAAAGGTGTGACAGTGGAATTAATAAAAACATAAGAGTTGAAAAATAAAAATAAACATTAAATGTTGTTTCTTCATATTAAGAAGCAACATCCCTTATAAGTTATTTATTTATTTTTTACATAAAAATACAGTATCATGTTTTTTATTAAATGCATGTTATTTTACTGATTAAAAGTATGATGATAAGAAAGGTCCACCTTTGTAAGTCTAAAAATAAAAATTACATTACTCTGATAGTTGTTGTTTGTGATCAATTCTTTGACCTAATAGAAAATTACTGAACAAATGATTTGTGTTACTCATAAAGTTTTGAACCAAATAAGAATTGGACCAACATTCCTAGAACAAAAAGTTAGGGAATAATTTCTTCTATGGTCCTGTTTGATTGGATCCATACATCCAACAGGGACACCTGTATATACATGATTGTAATTTATACTCCTTTGAAATATTATGTTAATCAAACCATTTATATCCATGTGACATACTTTTATGTAGTTATGAACATACACACTTTTTACCAGTTACTGAATACCATTAAATGGTCCATTGTTATCAATAGAATATGTAATTCTCTCAAACTCTATTTATTAGTAGAATATAATTAAATCAATAAAGAACCATTATAACTCATCTGGGAAAAACAAGGTATATTTTAATATTTTCTTGATTAGAACAAGGAGATAAAAATATTTAAGTTGAACAACTCACCATCCACTTTTCCCATGGCCAAAATGGATATTGTTTTGATAGCAGGGACAGCCCATGCTGCTAGATGGAAGTACTGAGAATTTGCTTCAATTGCTTCATGGCCCCACTTAAGTCCAGCTGCCAGAAACCATGTCAATGTTAAGATCACCCACCAAATACTTGAAGCCATACTGAAGAAATATACCACCATGAAGAGAATAGTGCAAGGTTCATGTTTTGTTCCCTGTGTAATTACAGATATGTTTGGCAGTCTTGCACCACTTATAGTTGTTGGAAAGGGACCTTGACAGCTAACACTGTCACCAGCACTCCAACCCATAACATATGCTGCAGCCACCATGAGATAACATACAGATAGGAAAATTATAGGTCTTTCTGGATATCTAAAACGATCTGTGTCTATTAGAAAAGTCAAAACAGTGAACAGACAGCTTACAGTACATAATGTTGCCCATATGCCAATCCATAATCGAGCAAACTTTTTCTCATCTTCACTGAAAAACATACCAGTGCAAGGTGCCCCACAATCATATTCTGTTTTATCTCCAACTTTCAGTGAGTATTCTAAATCCAAGTTCTTGGGGACTTTAAATTGTACAGGACACACAAATCCATAGTCTTTTGCACCATGTAGTTTGGTTGGGTCTCTCTCATTATTATTTTTGAAGTTCACTTTAGGAAGTTTTGTTTCAGTGTGTCTTCTAGACTCATGAGTTATATTGTTATCACCAACACATATCACGTTTTCGTCAGTAGCCACAGGAAATTTTGTGCACTCCAAGTATTCAGGCCAATGAAATCCAAATGTTATCATAATCTCATCACAATTTTGTTTTGCAGATTCACATAAATGTCGACAAGGAGGTATAGCTGTGTCTAATATTGTGCACACGGGGGCGTAAACTGAACACAAAAAGAATTTTAGATCTGGTGAACAGTTAACTTTTATCAAAGGTGTAAACTGGTGTACTTCTGGCCCCGCATCTTCTTGTTTAGCGTGATTCAGTAAGTTGGGAAATATCGTTTGATTATATCGTATTTGTGTACAAAACTGAATAGTAATAGGCTCGCAACGACCATGATGAGGTAATGTATCTCCAGGATAAACAGTAACACCTGAAGTTTCAACTGATACAAAAACGTATAAAACTAGAATAATAAACGCAACCTTACATTTATCCATTACTATGGCTACCACTGGTAAAATTACTAAAAAAATAAAAATAATAACTTAAAACTGCACTTATATTCCATTCCAAATTATAAGTAATTAAGACTTTGTCTCCGCATTTTCGTTAATTGTACGATTATTGTTACAATAAATAATTATCAATTATAAAATTGTTATCACAACAACATGCATTGTCGTCGATGGAGTAAAAGCATAGACGAAAGACAAGTATTGTCTCTGATTTCTCTCTCTCTGGTGCTCTATGATGTTTTTCTAGTTCTATGATGTAGCTTTAGCAAATAGATAGGAAATGGTTACGAAGAAGTATTTAAATACCGTCACCGCAAGTCTGTAATTTTTTTAAAGTTTTGTGCAAACATTTATTACGATCAATTATTAAATAAACTAATGTATATATAAATATAAACTAAATAACTAGAGTAAACAGTAAGAACAACTCTTTCATATCATTCTTCACAGTCTTTTTTTAAGGGGGGAAAATCATCGAATGACTGCTCCCGCCTGGGTGAGGCGGGAGAGAGTGTCAGACTCTTACTGACTAAAAACCACCCCGTTCCTTCTCCTGCACGTCGAGCCGGAGCCCCGGTTACCCATTAGGTTCTCCGCGACCGTTAGGTTCTCCGCGACCGTTAGGTTCTCCGCGACCGTTAGGTTCTCCGCGACAATATACTACCACTAAAACTATGAATAAAAATAATAAAAAGGATAGAATTGTATTGAATAGGCGTCAAAGAGCAAATACATAAGTCTGTGACTAATTTATAGACATCTGTGCTGTCATGTCAAGTGTCAAAGAGGTTACTGTACTGTTGTATTGACATTTTGTTTTCAAAATATTCAAAACATCAGTCCGCTCCCGAGACATTATTTTATATTATCACAGTATAATTTGCTAATACGAGTAAACGCTTTATTTTTACTGAAACGATGGAATTAGGCGGTGAAAATGTAGATTTTACAAAATTAATAAATGTCAAAGGTAATATTGAAAATATTACACCTCATAAAATAGCAGTAGTAGCTTTTATACGAGAATACGGTCTACTAAAAATTGAAGGTGAGTGTCCTAATTTTGTTCTATTATTTGTATTATATGTGAGGGCTATCATTCATTATTTATCTTTTCAGCAAACAAAATGATGGATTGTACTGTGGCACCAAAATATAGAAAGGACTTCTGTATGCTGGCTCTTAAACTGATTCAGGTAATAATTTCTTGATATTGAACTATAATTACGTAGCTAGTTTGTACAATGCAACATTTTATTAAATTAAAGTAGTGAGGTGTATAATTGGTTTCATGAAGTAAAAGAAAAAAAATCAGGAACAGAACGGAATAGACCAATAAGACAGGAATATGTACGGCATGTATAATTCTGGAATAATCCAGCCAACTACCCTTAATTCTTGTTGAACTAAACTTATATTCATTTTTTTTCATACAATTTGTTTTTCAGTGCCCAGATATGGAATTTAAGGAGTTAGAGGCTTTGCTAACAGATGGTCGTTATAATTTGCTTAGTGTTCATCTGCAGAACTTTTGTGTTAGACTCCAGAATATTTATGTAAATGGAGTTAGTGCTCTTACGGACTGTGTGACCTCAACAATAGACAAGCTGATGATTGAATCTAATCCATGTATTATGGCCAGATACAGTGTATTAGGTAACAAAATCTACAAATTTATTTGCTTTTTTCATAAGTAGTAAGAATATTGATTTATATTTCCATCTTCCAGGATTGTATTTAAGAAGAATATTACTTCATCTAGATAAGCTAACTTTTGTGCAAGTTGTGTCACTTTACAAGTCATTCTGCCTTTATTACCAGAGGGGCAGGCCTGGTCTTATGATGAGATCATTAAGTAAAGAGGTACTTTTAATCAATTACATAATTGTAATGAATATTTATATCATGTTGTAATTGCTAATTGATTTAGTTTGAAACTTTGTGTAGAAACTAAACAACATGGATCAGCAGGCCACAACCACATCTCCCGTTATACCCGAGGAATCAAAACCTTTGGAGCTGTCAATGCGAATGAATATAATAGACAGAGACAAGTAAGTGGCAACATCAAACTATAATATATTTTTGATAATTATCAAGTTACATCTTTTAGAGAAAGACAAAATGTATTGCATTTATTATTTCAGTAGTTTTGAAGAATGCCAATGGTCAAGAAAGCAAGCAGAATTGTTTACAGCACAACAAGCAAATTTATTACAAATAAACGAAAAGAAGGCAATGCCACCTAGACAGTTACAGAAAACAATTCTACAAATAATGAATGATATACCAGAATATGCAGATATTGTAAGTACATAATTAATTATATTGGTTTGTAAAAAGGATGAGGACTAAAATTCTTTTTATGGAATGAAAGTCCTGTAACTTTCAATTCATTTGAAATATTGCATGGCATCACATTTGAATACATTTCATACTCAACAAGGCTGTGGATGCATTCAATTTGTTTTTGGATTGAATTTTCATGCTGTCATCATCCCTAAATTTTAATAAGTCTCACATGATTCTTAGTCTAAGAGAGTATTTGTATTGTTTTAGCATTTCCTCAGTTTTTTAAACTGCATTCGTACAAAGGAGTTCAGTGGTGCTCAGGACTCTCTATACAATTTTTTCGACCGTACCATCTTACTATCAGGCAATAACACTGGCATCGATAGGAATAAGAACTTCCGTTATGCGGCATTGAATAGAGCCGCAATGCACACTCATTTCGGTCACCGGTAAGGGATAATCGAGTTTATATGTGTAATGTTGCTTTTATTAAAGTGTTACCAAACATTTTCTGATACTATAACAAAATTATCACCGAACAAGCATTTAAAAAAGCATATATATCGAAAAGCCTTTTTTTGAAGTCTTAAAAAAGCAGCAATTTAAATCGTCAAATGATCAGATCTGTGGCGATGGAAGCAGTGCGTGAGGCTCTAGCTCGCGCGCAGGAGGCTGCGGACTACGCGTGCCTGGTGGGCGCGGCCACGTGGGGCGCGCTGGCGGGCGGGCGCGCGCGCCGGGCCGCGCTGTTGACGCGCGCGCCCCGCGACCCGCCGCCGGGCACGCCGGCCGCGCCGCTAGCCGCGCCGGCCGCCGCCGCTCCTTCGCATCCGCGCTATACGGCCGCTGCCGCACAGCTACTGGCTCAACACGCTGCCGTTAACGGGGCCAAGCCTGCATACATTTTTCAGGTGAGAATTTATTCCTCAGGAACGCGGGCCAAGCCGCTGGCAAAAGATAGTACTAGGTATATCAATACATAGTATAAAACAAAGTCGCTTTCGCTGTATGTCCGTATGTATGCTTAGATCTTTAAAACTACGCAACGGATTTTGATGCGGTTTTTTTTAATAGATAGAGTGATTCTTAAGGAAGGTTTGTATGTATA